ATGATAGTTCTGATTATGCACTAAGGTATTTTAATAATTTATTTGACTGCAATTTCTTTGATTTTATCTTAGAATAACAACCCATATTATTTTATAATACAAGTGATATAGAAGATCAAAATCCTCTACCTTTGTTAGTATCATCCCAGCTCAAGGAATTTCAAGAATCTTACGCAAAAATAAACCAAAATAAAAAGTGGGCTCTATCAAGTAAAAAATGTATCAAGGATATTATTTTTAAATACTATAGGCAACTGTCTACCGAAACATATATCCATTCATGGATCATTGATTTGGATGATCGAGAAGCTGAAAAGTTATTTAGTATGAAAGAGTGGAATAAGATTCGTCATTCTGTAAGAGAATTACTACAAGTTGATAGGACATTTGCAGAGTCTATGATACGCTTCTCAAATATGTGTGTTGAAGTTGCAACTAGCTTCTTTTTTAAAATTTTTTTTTTCATAAATTTAATAATATTTCCAATTTAAGGTTCAAACAAAAAGCAAACTAAGACAAATCTTAAACACCATGTCTTTCCTAAATGAAGGTAAGCCTTATAATCGTGAAACTCACTATGATGCAGAGTAGGCTGAACTCATAATAAGAAAATTGTATGTATTTACTTTTTGTTCCGCTAATTTAATTTTTTCATTTAATATAATTTCTCTCTCTTCATTTTTTTAAAAAAAAAAGTCTTACTGATTTTAAAGATCCAAATGAACTATTACAAAAGCAACACCTCGAATCCTGGTTCGATATAAATGTGTGGTCTCTAATCATTGATCACAGTCTTCAGAATGTAATAGGAATAGAAACCGTCAGGTACTGTATATAGATGCTTCCGGATTCACCCAGTTTCACCGACTTTTAATTCTAACAAACGCTAACTTTATAAATTGGAACTTTTAAATAGAAAAGAATCGCCAAGTGACACTGTATCCATGAGAAAAAATTGAAAAAGAGCACGTACTCATCGCAGAAAAGTGGAGTGTAAGAAGATAGGATACCGAATAGATGGTATACTTCAAATGTACATTGACAATGTAGAGTATGGAGTAATAGAAGTTGCCAAAAAATTTGAAGCAACAAAATTACTTTCTGATGGATATAAATTAGGAAAAGCTATGCATGATATACTTATATGCCTTAGCCAAAAAGTCCATTTTGAGGAAGCAAGAGTAAGGAAATTGCAGGTTGTTGGCATGTTACACTTAGATAAATAAAATAGAGTATTTCACAATCTATTACTGTTTGGTGGTGTAAACTGTGTTAATTTGTTTTATAGATTTCAAAGCCCAAGTTCTACATTTGAATAGCCCTAAGGGGTATGTGTCAATATTAAAAAGAGAAAAACTTCTTGAGGTACCAGCTAAAGTTGATAAAATTAAAGATCTTATCAGGGTCTTGGCCAATGTATGGATATTAAAGGTATGTATTGTCTCAATACATCATTTATTAGCAAAATATATTGTCTTCTCATTAGGTTTATAAACATAAAGTGTAGTCATGAACTGTGTAGAAATAGTAAACATGAAACCCCAAAATCATGCTGATTTTTTGCAAGAAATTATTGAAATAGGCATGGAAACACCCCGCCTACAGTTGTATTACCATGGTCATGTGATACCCAATAAACTGGTTTCTTTGACCTCTTGTGATAATTATGAATTAAAGCAGAGTTACGAAATAAATATCAATCAAGACATATTACTATTAATTTTAAATAATGCATAAGTACTAATTTTAGCAGATTTGGCATTATAGTTCATATATTAGAACATCAATCAAGATCTACCTTTAATATGTAAATGCATAAGTCATTTCCAAGTATGTACGTACGTATATCCTCTTATTTGCATCATTCTGCGCACATGGCTCCTTTATTTTCTGACCCGGTCTTTGCAAAGTAGATTGAATCTTTTTAAATTGTAGCACCTTACCAAATAAGGACAATTTTGTAAAAAAAAAAAATAGTATTACTGTAGCTATCGTAGCAGATATTATGCCAAATTAAGGGATTTTATCTGTTCAACCCAGCTTGTATACTTTAATCTATATTCAAAAAATCGATTAATAGACCTAATATAGATATGTAATGCTATAGCCATATTGTATTTTAATGAAATGATATAAACTGAGAAATAATAATCATTATCAAGAAATTGCATTAGATCATCTGTTATAATAAAAATAAATTTATCGTGGATTATGATACAAAGTAGAACACAGTTTTACAACTAGTAATTCTATTGCACCAAACAAATGTGTATTTGGGGGTTTTCATTAAACAGGGGTCTAGACCATAGTTATTACACAAAGTTATTGTACAATAAGATAATAGGGAACAAATCGTTATATATTTTGAAAAATTTTTATAGATCTTTTTTT